ACAGCATAGGGAAGGGTTAATATCCCTGTGGTGTTTCTTTTGAAGCCTGTTTTCCGTGTTCAGAAAATTTCGTCTCACTTTCTGTCCCTGTGAGAATTAGATTCTGAAAAAACTGGCTTGTTTGGCAACAAGGACTGGAGAGAAAGCATCACTGGAGACCCCTTTTCTCCATGATAATAACTCTTCCAGTAGTGGACTTCCTTTCCAAGAGATAGATTTCTCTCACTTCATGTTTCCTCTCCCCCATTGTTGCTGTTGTTATTATTATATTTATTTATATCCTGCCTTTCTCCCTATGAAGACTCAAGGCAGCTAACATCTATCCACACTAAACCAAGTTAAAAAAACAATTAAATAATAATAGTGTGGCAAAAACATACCGTATATATTTGAGTATAAGCCGACCCGCATATAAGCCGAGGCACCTAATTTTACCATAAGAAACTAGGAAAATATATTGACTCGAGTATAAACCGAGGGTGAAAACTGCAGCTGCTACTGAAAATCATCAGTAGGTTAAATTTTTTTGTGTATTTACATAAAACTGTAATTTAAGATAAGACTATCCAACTCTGATGAAACCATTATTCTAATCTTCTTCAATGTCAATGTGCTTATGTATCCTCCCAATAATAATAGAGTAAAATAATAAATGTAATAATAATAATAATAATAATAATAATAATAATAATAGAGTAAATAATGGAAATTTAGTAACAGTAATAGAGTAAAATAATAAATGTAATAACAATACATAGAGTAAAATAATAAATGTAATAAAATAATAGTACAGTAATATAATGTAAAGGTAGTAGTAATGATAATAATAATAATAATAAAGTAAATAATGGAAATTTAATAACAGTAAAAGAGTAAAATAATAAATGTAATAATAATACATAGAGTAAAATAATAAATGTAATAATATATTAGTACAGTAATATAATGTAAAGGTAATAATCATAATAATAATAATAAAGTAAATAATGGAAATTTAATAACAGCAATAGAGTAAAATAATAAATGTAATAATCATACATAGAGTAAAATAATAAATGTAATAAAATAATAGTACAGTAAAATAATGTAAAGGTAATAATAATAATAATAATAATAATAATAATGAAGTAAATAATGGAAATTTAATAACAGTTATAGAGTAAAATAATAAATGTAATAATACATAGAGTAAAATAATAAATGGAATAAAATAAGTACAGTAAAATAATGTAAAGGTAATAATAATAATAATAATAATAATAATAATGAAGTAAATAATGGAAATTTAATAACAGTTATAGAGTAAAATAATAAATGTAATAATACATAGAGTAAAATAATAAATGGAATAAAATAATACTACAGTAAAATAATGTAAAGGTAATAATAATAATAATAATAATAATAATAATAATTAGAGTAAAATAATAAATGTAATAAAAATAATACTAATAACAGAGTAAAATAATAAATAACCTTGACTCAAGAATTTTTTAATTTATTAATCAATTTTATATACCACCACTCCCCAAAGGCTCGGAGCGGTTTACAATACATTACATTTAAAATCAAAGAAAAATAGTACAAGCCTAGGAGAACGTTTTTAGCCTAAAAAAAGGACCAAAAAACTAAGCTTATACTCGAGTATATACAGTAATTAAAATACAGCAGATACATTAAAAGTGGCCTTTAAAACTCATATCCCGCCAATCCCACCCATTGTGGGTGTTTGTAAACTGGGGATTGCCTGTACGCCCAAAACCCAAAAGGCTTCTAATGCCAAGTATTTTGGATAAGGGATATTCAGCCAATATCACTTTCATTTACGTCTCACACATGTAACTGGGATTCGGGAAACAGAACAAATCCACATTGCCTAACAGTCCCTGGTTTCCTGTCTTTCCATGTTTGTTTTATACTTACTCTTAGCACTGGGGGGGGGGGGGCAATGATACAAACGGGGGGGGGGGGGGGGGGGCGGGGAAGGAAGGACGGCCTCTAAAATTTGAGTCCTGCGTCTCACTCAAATCTACACGTCAAAGGGGTGCGAAGAATGTGAAGGGAGCCATTCACAGACGGGAAGGAACATGGCTCTATCAACAAGAACTTTGCCGACATCCTTCCGTTGCCTCCCCGGATTCAGCCCTGAAGGATACACATTTTGGACATGGATGCACTATCCTCAATCTCTGACTCCATAACCTTGCTGCCACCTCTTCCTCACTCGGAAAAAAAATAACATGATTAAGCTCCAAGAAACTGAATTAGTACATTTTTAATACTGCCCTTTTTCAGACTCTGTTGCTCTGCTCTTGTTTCCTTGAGAGAAAAGCAGGAAACATGACCAAGAAAGAAAGATGCGTGTGTTTGCCTTGCATTTAATCAGAACATCTGGAAATCATGTTGGATAGTTTTCACTTAACTCTTTCCCATTGTTTTCTCTCCTCAGCTGTCCCACTTCTTGTGCATTTTGCCTACTGCCAATTCTAAATTAAAATATATTATATATATATATATATATATATATATATATGGTTTTGTGTATATTAATATTCAATTATATATATATATATACACACACACACACACACTAGCTGTCCCTTGCCACGCGTTGCTGTGGCCCAGTCTGTGTATATGTGTTTTGTGTATGTATATGTGTGTGGTATATATTTGTGTATACGTCTGTTTGCGTATATATATATGTGGTTTTCTGCATGCGTTGTAATTTTTTGGGGTTTTTTTTGTTTTTTGCTTTTTAGGTCTCTTCTGCTGTTTTTTCAGTGTTTTTATGAGTGATGGTCACTCGTTGGCCTGAGAGGTGTCTTGTGTCCAATTTTGGTGTCAATTCGTCCAGTGGTTTTTGAGTTATGTTAATCCCACAAACAAACATTACATTTTTGTTTATATAGATATATATAAAATCTCTCTATATATTTTATATATACATACATATACATATATATATATCGTTTATATAGTATAATTTTGTGTGTGTGTGTGTGTGTGTGTGTGTGTGTGTGTGCGTGCCTGTCTGGGAGGGCCCTTCCTTTTTTTAATTTTATTTATAAATTTGTCCAACAAAATGTATAAGCATACATTCTTCTCTCTTTTTACAGTATCTTAGACAAAACAGTATGTCATATTATATACAATCTAACAGTAAATAAACATCAAAAACATCTATAATCATAGATGTCATTCCTGTCATTATTTTTAAATTTCCATTACAACTTGAACTACATATAACCCTATCACGCACCTTTTATCTGCTTATACATATTGTATTTCTTAATATTTTTATTATACCGTTTTTCCCCCTCTTCCCCTTCTTTCCTTCCTTCTTTTCACTTCTTTCCTTTTCCCTTCCTTCCTTCCTTCCTTTTCCTTCTTTCCTATCCTTTTCCCTTTCCATCTTCCTTCCTTCCCTTCCAGACAGGCCCTCTATCCAGGATCTGCTCCCAGTTTGCTTATCCCAGATTATCTGGCAGTGGGGACTCATATAATCCAGTTTAAAACAGAAAACCTGGGATTGGGTCCTGGAATAGTGTCTGGAAGGCCCCTTTCTTTCCTTCCTTCCTTCCTTTCCAGACAGGCCCTCTACCCCAGTTTCCGATCCCATGTTTCCTGTTTATCCCGGATTATCTGTCAATGTGGACTTATATAATCCGCCATACAGCATAATCTGGTTTAAATTATGATGATGATTAGAGCAGGACTTGTTTATCCCAGATTATCTGGCAGTGGGGACTTGTATAATCCAGTTTAAAACAGAAAACCTGGGATTGGGTCCTAGAATAGAGTGTCTGGAAGGCCCCTTTCTTTCCTTCCTTCCTGCCCTTACAGACAGGCCCTCTACCCCAGTCTCTGATCCCATGTTTCCTGTTTATCCCGGATTATCTGTCAATGTGAATTTATATAATCCGTTTTACAGCATAATCCGGTTTAAATTATGATGATGATTAGAGCAGGACTTGTTTATCCCTTTCCACCTTCCTTCCTTCCCTTCCAGACAGGCCCTCTATCCAGGATCTGCTCCCAGTTTGCTTATCCCAGATTATCTGGCAGTGGGGACTCATATAATCCAGTTTAAAACAGAAAACCTGGGATTGGGTCCTGGAATAGTGTCTGAAAGGGCCCCTTCCTTCCTTCCTTCCTTCCTTCCTTCCTTCCTTCCTTCCTTCCTTCCTTCCTGCCCTTCCAGACAGGCACTCTATCCAGGATCTGATCCCAGTTTTTTGTTTATCCCAGATTATCTGGCTGTGGGGACTCATATAATCCAGTTTAAAACAGAAAACCTGGGATTGGGTCCTGGAATAGAGGGCTTGTCTGGAAGGACCCTTTCCTTCCTTCCTTCCTTCCTTCCTTCCCTTCCAGACAGGCCCTCTATCCAGGATCTGCTCCCAGTTTGAGTATCCCAGATTATCTGGCAGTGGGGACTCACATAACCCTCATATAACCCAGTTTAAAATAGAAAACTTGGGATTGGGTCCTGGAATAGAGTGTCTAGAAGGCCCCTTTCTTTCCCTCCTTCCTTCCTTTCCAGACAGGCCCTCTACCCCAGTTTCTGATCCCATTTTTCCTGTTTGTCCCGGATTATATGTCAATGTGGATTTATATAATCCGCTTTACAGCATAATCCGGTTTAAATTATGATGATGATTAGAACAGGACACCTGGAGACAGGCCCTCTACCCCAGTTTCTGATCCCATGTTTCCTGTTTATCCCGGATTATCTGTCAATGTGGATTTATATAATCCGATTTACAGCATAATCCGGTTTAAATTAGGAGGATGATTAGAGCAGGACACCTGGGTTCAGATCCTGTGGAGAAGAAAGCGTGATATCAACATAGAGTCAGCATAGAAGCAAAGAGAGAGCCTGACACGCATGCAGACACGTGTAGGGGGGCGCACGTCTGAACGCGGGCGGGAAGAGGGTAGGCGTGGAGGACGGGGACGACTATATTTCCGCGAGGGCGACGGGCAGGCCGCGTACTCACCCGTCCAAGCCTCTCCTTCCTTCCTTCCTTCCGCCTCCTTCCTTCGGCCTCCCCGACTGAGGCACCTTCGGAGAGACAGGCACGGGCGGAGGGATCCCCTCGCGGCGCTCCGCCGGGGCCGGGACTACTTCCGCGCCCCTTCCCTGCACTCGCCAAGTCGAAAGACGCCTTTGCTTTTGCGCGTATCCTTCCGCCGCAGCCTCACAACCAATAGCCAAACACTCCGCTCTGGCTGCTGACCGGAAAAGAATGCGGGCTGGAACGGAAAGCGTGCGGCCTCTTGCGTCGCCTCTCTACGCGCTCCTTCTCTATTCACTTCTCCTTCCCCTCCGCGTCGGGACTATTTTTCCTCTCGCACTATAGGGGAGCGGCTCGGCCTCTTGCGTTCCTCCCGCCGTCACTCTTCTCACATCGCGACCTGATTGGTCCTTGTCAACAGTCGCGCCCGCCCTCTGACCAATCCCGAGACGAAGCTACCGTCAGCCAATCGGCGGAATGTTAGTGGGCGGGGACTCGCCTTCGAGTTTGACAGCACTGTGACCCAATCAGCGCAGGGTTGTGACCAATGACCAAAACACCAATCGGAATCAAGTAATGGATGGAGCCCTTCTCTGTAATCCTTGAGGTCTTCAAAGTGTCAAAGGCGGCACGCATGCGCAGAGAGCGAGTGACGCATACTCAAGGGGAGAAACGTCATGGAATGAAACGCGAGCTCCAATTGGTTAGGAATTCTCTGAGGGCGGCACTCCAACCCGACGCCAACCAATCACAACGGATGTTCAAGAGGCTTTTTTTTCCCCCTTCATTTTTGACAATCTCATAGAGTCCAAGAGTTGGGAGAGACCTCATGGTCATCCAGTCCAACCCCATTCTGCCAAGAAGCAGGAATATTGCATTCAAAGCACCCCTGACAGATGGCCATCCAGCCTCTGTTTAAAAGCCTCCAAAGAAGGAGCCTCCACCACACTCCAGGGCAGAGAGTTCCACTGCTGAACGGCTCTCACAGTCAAGAATCATAGAATCAAAGAGTTGGAAGAGACCTCCTGGGCCATCCAGTCCAACCCCTGCCAAGAAGCAGGAATATTGCATTCAAATCACCCCTGACAGATGGCCATCCAGCCTCTGTTTAAAAGCTTCCAAAGAAGGAGCCTCCACCACACTCCGGGGCAGAGAGTTCCACTGCTGAACAGCTCTCACAGTCAGAATGTTTTTCCTAATGTTCAGATGGACCTCATGGGCCATCCAGTCCAACCCCCTTCTGCCAAGAAGCAGGAAAATTGCATTCAAAGCACCCCTGACAGATGGCCATCCAGGCTGTGTTTAAAAGCTTCCAAAGAAGGAGCCCCCACCTAATTAGATGATAAGGGATCATAGAATCCTAGAGTTGGAAGAGACCTCATGGGCCATCCAGTCCAACCCCATTCTGCCAAGAAGCAGGAATATTGCATTCAAAGCACCCCTGACAGATGGCCATCTCATTTTTGTGTCATTCTTTTTTTGTTATTTTTCCCCACAACTTTTGACTCGCCTCACTTCGTAACTTTGGATTATTTTTCAAATTAGAGTTATTTATTTTCACTTCGTAATGCTCAAGATCCTGCAAGGAAGACTCCAGCAATACATGGAGCGAGAGTTGCCAGATGTTCAAGCTGGGTTTAGAAAAGGCAGAGGAACGAGAGACCAGATTGCCAATATCCGCTGGATAATGGAGAAGGGCAGGGAGTTTCTTCATTGACTATTCTGCTTCATTGACTATTCTAAAGCCTTTGACTGTGTGGATCATAATAAATTGTGGCAAGTTCTTGGTGGGATGGGCACCAAGCCACCTTGTCTCTCTCCTGAGGAATCTGTACAAGGACCAAGTAGCAACAGTCAGAACTGACCACGGAACAACAGACTGGTTCAAGATTGGGAAAGGCGTACGGCAAGGCTGCATGCTCTCACCCAACCTTTTTAACTTGTATGCAGAACACATCATGCGATGTGCGGGGCTGGATGAATGCAAAGCTGGGGTGAAAATTGCTGGAAGAAACATTAACAACCTCAGATATGCAGATGACACCACTCGGATGGCCGAAAGCGAGGAGGAGCTGAGGAGCCTTCTAATCAAGGTGAAAGAAGAAAGCTCAAAAGCCGGGTTGCAGCTAAACATCAAAAAAACCAAGATTATGGCAACAAGAATGATTGACAACTGGAAAATAGAGGGAGAAATGTGGAGGCCGTGACAGACTTTGTATTTCTAGGTGCAAAGATGACTGCAGATGCAGACTGTGGCCAGGAAATCAGAAGACGCTTCCTTCTTGGGAGGAGAGCAATGTCCAGTCTCGATAAAATAGTAAAGAGTAGAGACATCAGACTGACAACAAAGATCCGCCTAGTCAAAGCCATGGTATTCCCTGTAGTCACCTACGGATGTGAGAGCTGGACCTTAGGGAAGGCTGAGCGAAGGAAGATCGATGCTTTTGAACTGTGGTGTTGGAGGAAAGTTCTGAGAGTGCCTTGGACTGCGAGAAGATCCAACCAGTCCATCCTCCAGGAAATAAAGCCCGACTGCTCACTGGAGGGAAGGATACTAGAGACAAAGTTGAAGTACTTTGGCCACATCATGAGGAGACAGCAAAGCCTAGAGAAGACAATTATACTGGGGAAAGTGGAAGGCAAAAGGAAGAGGGGCCGACCAAGGGCAAGATGGATGGATGGCATCCTTGAAGTGACTGGACTGACCTTGAAGGAGCTGGGGGTGGTGACGACTGATGGGGAGCTCTGGCGTGGGCAGGTCCATGAAGTCAAGAAGAGTCAGAGACGACTGAACGAATGAACAACAACAACAACACTTCATAACATTGGATTATTTTTCAAATTAGTGTTATTTATTTTCACTTCACTAAAAACTAAATTATTTACTGACTTACTTAGGCAATCCCGCGTAGCTCAAGGATGATGGCCTTCCAGATGTGGTGTCTTGGCGGTGGAGCCCTATTCTTGATCCACATGTTCTCCCTCAGTGAGGACATCAGTTTCCAGGTGGAAGGCGATCCCCTTGGCACGTTTCTCCCTTTGGCCCTCCATTCGTGTCTCTTCGAATTCTGCAGCACTGCTGGTCACAGCTGACTTCCAGTTAGAGTGCTGAAGGGCCAGGGCTTCCCAGTTCTCTGTGGCCATGCCACAGTTTTTAAGGTTGGCTTTAAACTCTGTGCTGTCGCACGCTGGGCCTGTATATAAGACTGTAGACAGGACATAAATTCTGTGTGCCCAACGGGACGCCGGGGCTGCCTCAGATTAAAGGCCTTTGGATTTCCTTAAACAGAGTCTTTAGATTGCTTAAAGGTTCAACAAAGTTCTTTATTATTGAAATCAAACAGGACTTCAAGGCTTTCTTAATAGTCTATTGGCTCTCTCAATCTTGTCCACAGGGGACAGGCACTATCTTCATAACTGTATTTTAACTAATAGGGAAATCCTTAATCCCTTAACCATTGGCAATCATCTTTGAGCCTTCTTGGAGAACAGGAGAAGTTCCAGCAGATTGGAGGAGGGCAAATGTGGTTCCAATCTTCAAGAAGGGAAAAAAGGATGACCCAAACAATTACCGTCCGGTCAGCCTCACATTGATACCAGGCAAGATTCTGGAAAAGATTGTTAAGGAAGTGGTCTGCAAAAACTTAGAAACAAATGCGGTCATCGCTAATAGTCAACATGGATTTATCAAAAACAAGTCATGCCAGACTCATCTGATCTCTTTTTTCGATAGAGTTACAAGCTGGGTAGATGCAGGGAATATCGAGGATGTAGCGTATCTGGATTTCAATAAGGCCTTTGACAAGGTCCCCAATGACCTTCTGGCAAACAAACTAGTCCAATGTGAACTAGGCAAAACTACGGTTAGGTGGATCTGTAATTGGTTAAATGGACGAACCCAGAGGGTGCTCACCAATGCTTCCTCTTCATCCTGGAAACAAGTGACGAGTGGAGTGGCGCCGGGTTCCGTCCTGGGCCCAGTCCTGTTCAACATCTTTATTAATGACTTAGATGAAGGCTTAGAAGGCATGATCATCAAGTTTGCAGACAACACCAAATTGGGAGGGATAGCCAATACTCCAGAGGACAGGAGCAGAATTCAAAACTATCTTGACAGATTAGAGAGAGGGGCCAAAACTAACAAAATGAAGTTCAACAGTGACAAATGCAAGATACTCCACTTTGGCAGGAAAAACGAAATGCAAAGATACAGAATGGGGGACGATGATGCCTGGCTCGAGAGTAGTAACGTGTGAATAAGATCTTGGAGTCCTCGTGGACAGCAATTTAAACATGAGCCAACAATTGGCCTGCATCAATAGGAGCATAGTGTCTAGATCTAAGGAAGTAATGTTACCCCTCTATTCTGCCTTGGTTAGACCACACCTGGAATATTGTGTCCAATTCTGGGCACCACAATTCAAGAGAGATATTGACAAGCTGGAATGTGTCCAGAGGAGGGCGACTAAAATGATCAAGGGTCTGGAGAACAAGCCCTATGAGGAGTGTCTTAAAGAGCTGGGGATGTTTAGCCTGATGAAGAGAAAGCTGAGAGGAGATATGATAGCCATGTATAAATATGTGAGAGGAAGTCACAGGGAGGAGGGAGCAAGCTTGTTTTCTGCTTCCCTGGAGACTAGGACGCGGAACAATGGCTTCAAACTACAAGAAAGGAGATTCCACCTGAACATGAGGAAGAACTTCCTGACTGTGAGAGCTATTCAGCAGTGGAACTCTCTGCTCCGGAGTGTGGTGGAGGCTCCTTATAATCATAGTTTCAGGAGAAGTTGGATTCTGTTGCTAATTCCAGACTTCCTGTTGCAAATTTCCATGGACCAGAGAATTAATCATTAGTGAAACAAGGATCCTGTTTGTATTGTATATTAAAAATAATATGCGACCTATGTGTTTAAAATGGTGTAGAATCATAAAATCATAGAATCATAGAGTTGGAAGGGACCTCATGGGCCATCTAGTCCAACCCCTTGCCAAGAAGCAGGAATATTGCATTCAAATCACCCCTGACAGATGGCCATCCAGCCTCTGTTTAAAAGCTTTCAAAGAAGGAGCCTAAAAGCTTCCTTATCTGGAAGCTTTTAAACAGAGGCTGGATGGCCATCTGTCAGGGGTGCTTTGTATGCAATATTCCTGCTTTTAGGCAGCGGGTTGAACTGGATGGCCCATGAGGTCTCTTCCAACTCTATGAGTCTATGATTCTTCCAGTTTAAAAAAACATAGCTAGAAGAAGAGCATTTTTGAACAAAATGAAACCTTGTGTCAAAGACTTGCCAAAGAAGAGAGAAAGAGGGCAAAATATAACAGCAAAGATGTCTAATGTTTTGGGTGCTGGGAGGAAAAAAAAGATATTGCA